TTTAGGGCAGGAGGATTTAGCAAAACAAAACACCAGCCCTTAAAGGAAAAATCCCAGCCTCGGAGCCGGGGGAGGAGGAGGAGGAAGGGGGGGGAAGGCAGCTCCAGAGCCAAGGAGGGGGAGGGTTTGTGGAGACGGGGAGGAAGATGAGCTGGTGGCTCTGCGGAGGGGAGGAAGGGAAGGGAGAAAAGCGGCACGGATGAGAAATCCCCAAACGCAAGCGTTAAGAAGCTGAAGGTATTAACGAGAGCCCCCGGGCGTGCTCAGCATCCCAAAAAAGCTCTTTTCGGGGGGGTTGATGCACTCAGAGCGGGGGAAGATGCTGCTGGCTCTGTCCCTGTCCCCCTGTCCCCAGCTGCAGGCAGCTGGAGAGCCCAGCTCGGTGCCTGTCCCACCACTGTGCCGTCCCCTCGGAGCCGGGATGCTGGTGGGGGGGTCTGTGTGGGAACTGGGAATCACAGAACCATGGAATCATTCAAGCTGGAAAAGACCCTCGGGATCATTGAATCCAACCATCAACCCCACTCTACAAAGTTCTCCCCTGCACCATATCCCCCAACACCACATCTAAACGCCTCTTAAGCTGAGTAATGACATGAAAACAGTGACCGGGGAGGGGGCCAGAGCTTGGACTTGGCCTCTGTGTCCCCACCTGGGAAAGGGGATGGACCTCAACTGCTTTGGTGAAGCCCCTTGTAGGGATGGGGAAGGTTCGGGGCTGGGGACGTGTCTCCTGCATGTCCCTCATCCCTACCAGCCAGGTCCCACCTCACTTTTGGCTCCCTTAGGCTGGGAGCACCCACGCTCTGGTGGCACTGCTGTCCCCCCTGGCAGGGAGGAACCCCATCCCTTGGGTCACCCTGGCACAGGGTGGTCCTCCCTGGTGGAGACCATCCCCGGGTGGGTTCCCCACCCCAAGGAGGGCCAAAAGGCCAAGGAGGCTGCCAAGCCTGGTGTGGCACCCCCGGGGGGGCTCGCTGGGGGCAATTTGAGGGCCACCAGCCAGCTCTGGTGCTTATTTGGAGGGGGAGGGGAGCGCTGCCGGAAGGAAACCTGCTCCGGGATGGCGGCGTTTGGGTGGAGGAGCCCCCGAAAGTTTCCTCTGCTCCGTCCCCACCCTGGAAACCGCTTCCTCTCCGGGGGGGCTGGGGGAGACCGTCCCCG